AAAAAGTTGATTAAATTCTGGGAGACAAACATGTCTGTCCTCCATTTTCCGCCGGGTATTACGGGTTGCGTGGATGGAAATCTGGAGGTAGCAGTCAAGGGGCTTAAGAGTTGGTGGCTGCTTTTGCCACTTGCAGCAAACATCCCAGAGTTTGTTAAAGAAACAACGCTGCAAAGGGCCTCCATCCAACACTGAAAAAAAAAAGTTATGGGAAATCATCATTTGGATGCATACATTGCATATTTATTCCTTCCTCCACACCATTCCTCTAACTGCTTCAGCTTTTCCCCCTCATCAGTTTATTTAATGTACTACTATATATTTTTTTTCAAGGTCAAGTTTCACCATTTTCTTTAATGTTAATGAAGAAATTATGCTGTAATTGTAATACACAGCAACAATGCCAAACATCTTGTCTCCCGTCCTTCATTTGCCAACAGCATAAATTAGAAGAGGAGACAGAAATTAGACCTGTAGAATCTACTTTGTTCCTTATGAGAACCCAAAGACCCACCAACCAAAGCCACTGTATGTCTCCTCCAACTTATTGAGCCTGGTGTAGGAAGTTGCTCTTTCTCAACACAGATGCAACACTATTTTATTACAAAGTGTTCTTGCATACTGACATAGTACAGTTCTTGTGTAGACTTTACCAGACCACCTTCTAATGGAGCAATTTTCTTGAAATGGCTGTAACATGGAAGTTACATAAGTTACCATGGAACAAAAAGGCTTGAACAGTAACCTTTCCTTTGGTATAAGCAGTCTGGTTTTCATCTTGGCCGTACAATTATGTCCCTTATAAGTGACTGAGTCAGTGTAGAGGTAGGATACAAAATGGTGTGTTTACTATTTGTTGTTGTGTGCCTTCAAGTCATTTTTAACTTATGGCAACCCTAAGCGGTTTTCTTTGCAGAATTTGTTTTTGTCTTTCTCTGAGCTGAGATTGCCACTTGCCCAAGATCATCCAGTGAGTTTCCATGGGATTTGAATCCTGGTCTCCCAGTGTCCTACTCCAACACTCAAACCACTATACCACACACACACTCTGTTTTGGGAATGTGAGTTTACTATAATATGCCAAGAATCTATAAACCTTCCTTGACACCTTTGTTGCCATAACAGCAGGAGGACACCACACACAACTGACTTTGTTTAGTACAGGGGTAGGCAACCTTTTTGAGCTTGGGGCCGGGTTGCTGTCCCTCAGACAATTGGCGGGCCGAAGCAAAATAATAAAATAATAAAAATAATAAAAATAAAATAAAATAAAATTTAAAAATATGCATGCACACTCTCTCAGCCCCAGAAAAGCCATGATGGCAAAACTCCTGTGGAGATTTTGCCAAGAAAACCCCAAGAACAAGTAATAACAACAATAATCAATATCATCATGGCGGGGGGCAGCAGGACCAGCCTGGGCCGGTTCAAAGGCCTCATGGGGCCGCATCCGGCCCCCGGGCCGCAGGTTGCCTACCCCTGGTTTAGTACATACTGTGTTCAGTGATAGGCTTATGGGATGCAGATTTAACAACTATTACCAAATTTCCTTTAGCTTTAGCTTATCACTTCTCTGAGGATCCACAAAAGCTATTTGTCAGATGAAACAATCTGCATTTTTCTCTATGGGTTAATTAATCGCTCTGAAGCCTCTGCTGCTAGCTTTAATTTCATGTGTCTGAAAGATTAGTGGAATGGTTCTAGTAATCAACCTACTATTGGATTTTAGAACAAAATATTCTGAAGTGCAAAATACTTGTGAGAATCTACTAGGTAACACTGACTGACCATAACTTGACATTTGACACTGAGCTAGCCCTATGAATCCAGGGAGCTGAAGGTGATCACCCTCAGAAGGTGATCACCCTCACAAGGTAAACTCCAACCTTTTGAAAATGCAGCAATTTTCAAAGGGGTAACCATGTTAGCTTGTTGCAGCACAACAGTGGTACCTTTAAGATTAGCAGGTTTATTGTGGTAGCAGGCTACATGGTTACACAGCCCCCTTCCTCAGATGCACAGAATGCAGTACTGGAGCTTCCAGGAGGCAGGATACAGGCAATAAAGCAAGAAAAGAGATTCCACCTCAACATTAGGAGGAACTTCCTGACAGTAAGGGCGGTTTGACAGTGGAACATACTCCCTCGGAGAGTAGTGGAGTCTCCTTCCTTGGAGGTCTTTAAGCAGAGGCTGGATGGCCATCTGTCAGGGATGCTTTGATTGGGAATTCCTGCATGGCAAAATGGGGTTGGACTGGATGGCCCTTGTGGTCTCTTCCAACTCTATGATTCTATGATTCTATGAACGTAGTTAAATGCCAAATTATTAGCAGTGACCATTATATATGGCCACAAATATCCTAGCACTATGGTTACCTTGGCTTTCTACAGACTATGTGGATCTAGCACATGACAGGAAACCTTTGCAAATGAAAAACAGCCTTTTTAAAATAAATAAATAGATACTCACATGTTTTGGGGCAGTATGAGTTAAGATATTGTGGAGCTGCTGAAAATCAGAGTAAATGCAGTATGTTCTTCTCAAATGTTGCATGAAGGCATGAAGTTTTTATGACCGCCAGAAGGTGGAGACAATTTATTACTTGATATGTGATTCAGAGAGAAAACAGACTGCTTGATTAAAATTAAATATATCTAGTGTTTGGGTGAGACATTACATTCACATTCTATGTCAATTCTTCAAGCTGACCAGTTCTCCACTCTTTATTTTATCCTCACAACAGTCTTGTGAGGGAAGCTAGGCTGAGAGATATTGACTGACCCAAAGTCACTAAGTAAATGTCATGGTTTAGTGGGGATTTCAATCTTGCTCTGTCTAGTGCAGGGGTAGGCAACCTTTCCCCTTTAAGGGCCGAGG